CCTCCAGAGCTGCTTTTTCTTCTTGAATATCTTGGTCCCAGTTAACCTTTTATGCCCCTGATGGGTGCTAATGGGACCCACCTGGCCAGGCACCTTGACCGTGCCTCTCCACTGGGCTGCCAGCCCCCCATCAGCCGTGGCCACTGGCTCTGCACTATAGTAAATAGCACATAGCGGGCTGGCCACACGCAGCACAAACCTCAGGGTTAATTTGTTCTTTCAGGATGAGTGGGTTTGAGCCTCGGTTTTAGTTGTTTTCCGAACCTCCCCACAGCCTTTGATTGGAGCAGATTTGGGGAAGCCAAAGCCCTGGGCCGAGTGTCATTGGCTACACTGTGTGTAGGTGTCTGTCATGGACATCATTTGTGGACAAGGGAAAGGGTAAGAAACAGGTTTAGATGAGGGTTGAGGCATAGTGGCTTCTAACCACAGTAGACGGTCATGCACCGAGATCTTTCCTCCTTCCCCATCGTGCTGTGACTCGTCTGCGGAGCTGAGGAGTGGGCTCTCCGGGGCTGCACTTCAACACCATTTCCAAATGACTCTCAGTGCCCTTTCTGCTGCCCTGGAGCCAGACAGAGGAAAAAACCCAGGTGGTAACCAGGAAAACTAGATTTGGATGATCTGGATGTAATGTTCTTTTTTTCAACGTAATGGCATAACACATCCTTGTAGCCCTGCTAGTCTGATACCGGGGTGACTAATGCAGGATAGTCCCTAAGCTTGAGTACACCCAGAGCCTTTCGAAGCGCTGATTACAAAAGAAAGGCAAAAGCTTTGAGACAAGGGGATTACCCAAGACTCGTCTAATCTGGAGCTCTGTGTCTGCTTGTCATGTGGTAACTGGGTATACTGTATCCCCTGGGTATTGCATCTTGCTGGGGATATTACGCGCAGCTCATGTGCTGTGTCCCTGCGTGGGTTGGCCGCGTACACCCCTCGACTGTGGGGACCCATCCGTGGGCGCTGTATGGAGCCCCACGTGCTGCGCGGGGTTACACGCTGCCATGACTTGCATTTTCTCTATACGCTTTGTAACCCTTGGGGTGTCGGTGGTCCATGCTCTGGCATTTTGGGGGCCCAAAGTGCTTGACCGTGCCTCCCCATCCCTGCTCTGCGCAGCACACAACGGCCATTGTTTGCCTTCGGGGCGGGTGAACAGCCTCTGGCTTGGGAGGAACAAAGCCTGGAGCCAGTTCCTGCAAACACAAAACATGCCTTTTTATCACTTGGTGACAAATTGGTTTGTCAGCAGCAGGAAGTGATGTTACTGCCGTCCTCACCAAGGGGAAACTCCTCGTGGTTTCCATGGGGATGTATGCAACTGTAGAACTACAGGTTTATATAAGCTGAAAGCCCTACGCATGCCCACTGTGTGCCATGATTCTAGAGGTCTTGGAGTGGATACGAGGAGCAGGGTCTTGGCCGAACCCCCCTAGTGCGGGGGGACCACCCGCTCATGTGGGAGCTGGGGGAAACTGGAGTTCAAGGCTGTAAACCAGAGTGAACTGTGTGCCTTGATATCCCAAACAAACAAAACAGCGAAACAGGGAGAATAAATGAGGGGTGAGAAGGGAAAATGCCTCCCTAGCACACCCACAGTGGGCAAAGCTCAACTGAGCTGTGTTGCCAAGGTGTCCTCCAGCTGCGCCAGGCTCGGGCTCTGCCAGTCCCCATCCCAGCCCCTTGTGCCTCCTTGCCTGGCTCACACCTCCTCCTCCTCTGCCCCAATCCTCACTGGCCACCCCGCTCCTTCCCCCCGTTCCCTCACAGCTGAGCCCATCTGTCTCCCCAAAACTGGCACTGCAGTGATGTTTGCGGGTCTCACTCTGATCTCTCTCACTTTTCGCTGTTGTCCTTGCCCCCTTATCCTCCCCTTATTTGGACCGGGAGCAGTTTGGGATCTGGGTGCGATCCTGTCCAGAGAGAGTTTGCAGGAGTCTGTGGGCTCTGGGCACTGTGAGACTGATTACAGGTGACAGCAGAAGGATCACGATGAAGACTTGGGCAGTGACATCGCACATCTACGGAGCTGGAAGTGCGTGTCAGTGCCTCGCTGGGACCGAAGCCCTGCTGCCGCTGGCTGGCTTTTCCGCAGCGGGCTTTGTGCTGAAGCAGCTCTTCTGCACCCTTCTGTCAGGTGCCTGCTTAGGTTATAAAAGCTGATCGGCTGCCAGGTAATGAGTTTTATTGTTCCAAGAAACACATAAACAAGCTCCCCCGGCTGACAGGGAGCGGATTTCTGTTTGAATTGCGATTAACAGGCAGGATTTTTTTTTTTATCAGTTGCATGGCCAGGGCTGCCAAGGTTGTATTTTTCCACTGAACAAGCTCCGCTCTGCTTTGAAGGTGAAAGTTTGTTCCACTGTTTACTGCAGGTGTAAAAAGGCTCACGTATTCAGAAACAGCCTTGCATGCTTTACAGGGAGGTAGGTGCAATCCACAGAGCAGCACAACCTGCCAAGGGACTTCCCATACACAAGGGGGTTTTGCAGGATTTGCAGCATGGGACAGACTTTGTGGAGGAATATTCACTTGGAGGTTCATGCATGCTTTAGGAAAATAAGGGTTTCTAACTTTGTTTCTTAGTGCCCAGGGATCTCGCCTCCTTTTAGCTGCTCCATTTTTTTGGTGTCAGGTTGAAGCTTGATGATGGCTGACGCGTAGCACTGACGACAGAGCTGCATCAGAGGGGTAGCTCACGTGGAAGAATTTCAGACGCAGCAGCAGCGCATCATCCCGTCCTTCAAGGGCACCTTCTCCCGGGAGAAGAGTCCTGGATTTTAGCACCATTAATACTCCAGGTGACTTGCAGGATTTC